CAAAAGCAAACCCACTCCAAACAAATCATGCCAGGAAAACCTTGTGATAGGTTCACCTTAGGATCTCTATAAGTCAGAAACAACTTGGAGGTGCATGACAACAAGAAGAACACATGTTTCAAACCACTGAAGCACTTGCAGCTCTGGTTCTTATGAGGTATTTTAAAACAACCAGAATAAGTGCTAAATAAATACATACATTTGGTCTGGAGGATGCGATAGTTTAAAACCAAACCTTGAATATATTCAAGATCAGACATTGAAGCCTTACTGTGAGTCTTTCCCTCACTTCTATGAAAAAATGAAAAGATAACCTATCATGCACCAATTTCTTAGAAAGGTAATTGCCATATAAATGCTTTTTGAAAGGGACATAAAGTGCAGTAAGAAGCATATTAGGTGGAATGAGGAAGTTGAGACTTTTTAAAAAATCTAGAGCCTTTCCTTTCTCTTCCTGCTGAGCCTGGCCCCACTCACACAATCTCTTCAACATTTTAAAGGGTTGCAGGCAAATGCCATAGCCCATTTCTGCCAAAAGGCAGATGTTTGGAGAGCAATGTTATCACCCCACCTTAGGGTGTCACCTAGTGCAGTCTACACTCCCCAGCACCCTCCTGCTAATGGTCCTGGCTTAAGTAACAGAAAAATGTGATTAATGGAATTGCATATTTATGATGGTTTTGACTGCAGGTATAAACTTCATATGTAGTGCAGCGTGAAAAAAACAAGCAAGAGGAAGCTGCTGCAGAACAATATGTCTTTTGAGTATTCAATACTTTTCAGAAATGATTTCCTATGCATGTTTTCTTATGTGATCACAGCAATTGCCTCTCTGTGTGTATGTGTGTGTATAAGGCATGATATATGTCATGGGGGGGGGGAGAGAATAGCTTACATAAACAGTAGTTGCCTTATTTCACATTGGGGAAATACCCCTATGTCTTGTGTTGTTGTTTTTCCCTGATCAGTCCTTGATCATCTGAATGTCCCTGTTAGGCATCAGCTGTGTGTTACTCTACTTTGCTCTATTGTAGTGCAGTGAGGTGGAACTGATTGTTTCTGCAAAGGGAAAGAGATGAAAATGCAGATTTATTTAAATAATTTAAAATCTCACAAGGTAGTATGTGTTCAACATGAAAATGAGGAGCAAAGAAGTGCCAAACCAATGTTGCCTTCTAGCTAAGTGATCACTGCTCTATTTAATAACAGTCAGAGATATTTGAAACAAGATCATTCAAATTACAGTGCTAGACTATTAGGAAAAAAAATGCCAGATGAGCATTATTGTTATAGAACTGTCATGATATTACATTGTAAGCACTGTTTTCTTTTGTTTTTGTTTTTTTAATTGAAAGATTGAGTCTACTCAGTTGATAGTGCAGCAACAACATGTCATTCATAAGCCCACTCTGTGGATATATTCCATTGCTTTTTAATCTAGTACAAGGTTGCCCAGTAGATCATACCAGATCAGCCAAAGGCTTCATGACAGTCCAGAAAAGTGGAGGACAACCAGAGGGACACATCTCAATCTACCCTTTTTATGTTGTTGTTACTTATTATTATTAAGTTGTTTCTGACTTATAGAGACCCTAAGGTGAACCTATCATGGAGTTTTCTTGGCAAGTTTCATCAAAGAGGGTTTGACACTGCCATTCTCTGAGGATAACAGAGTATGACTTGCCCAAGGTCACCCAGTGGGTTTCCATGGCTGAGCTAGGATTCGAACCCTGGTCTCCAGAAGTCCTGTGCTCAAACCACTACACCAGGGGTAGGCAACCTAAGGCCCGGGGGCC